AAATGGAAAGGGATCGCAAAATAATTAGTGATTAAAACAAATGGTTTGTAGGTTTTATTGGTGGCAGACGTACGCCGACACGAGGGCAGGACACCACTCCACTGGCCGTTTGATTGACAATATCTATTAGCCCTTCCGACTAATTCGTATCCATCATTGCATCCATAAGTGATCCGTGACGTGAATGTATGGGCCACACCATCACGAACGCCATTCTCTATATCCCCGGGATGTCCACAACTTTTGGCTATTGGAGACGACAAATGAATTCAATACCAATATATTATTGGGGAGAGAGAGAGAGGGAGAGAGAGAGAGAGAGAGAGAGAGAGAGAGAGAGAGATGAGTAATAGATAAGGAGAATGTTAGGAAAATTGATGATTTGGTCACTTTGTAAGTGTCTATATTAATGTATATAAGGTATGGTTGTGAATGACATAGTATTGTATGAATGCAATGCACTTACGAATGCATTTCAAGTCGGGTCCAAACCATTGAGCGGTATTGTTATAGAATAGGCACTTGGCTTCCGTGAATCCCTTGGACTCATAGCCCGGAAAACAGCTGTACTGTACGATCGCATCGATCTCGAAGTCGAGCTGATCTAACGGCGCTGAGTGTCTGGCATGTGGTACTGTCAGTGGTATGTTACACATGGCTGTCCAACACAATGCCAGTGCGTTTGCCAGAGAATAAGCCACAAGAGTGCCGACATAACAGCGCAAACAACACAACATTATTATAGTAGTGATAGATATTAGGCTGACTTTTATTAATTAAATTTATCGTCTATTTATGGCAAACAAAGTTCAATGCAATCCATGTAATGCTTTATCACTGCCTGCAAATGCTATTATTATCGATTGTACCAAACATTACACTTATTATCAATATTAGTGAATTATCATCCATTTACTTAACCATTAATCCCTTAAATTGGAAAATTATATTCACTTTTCACAATCGTTGCGAATTACACACTAATCTCTTAATCTCTAATTGAGAAAAATAATTATATTTCTAATTGTTTTTATTATGTCATATAAAAAACTCTGTTAATTACTTAAGCCTATTGTAATAACAATATATTTATCATTATACTAAA